TATTATTATTATTTTTCTTTCTGTTAATACATATGTGTACTATTTGTAAGCAGTCCAGCTGCAATTGCTTTGGCAATACAAATGTATAATTTTTGTCATGCCAATAAAGCACTCTTAAATTGAAATTGAAATTGAGAGAGAGAGAGAGAGAGAGAGTTACACTTATATACAGATAGAGAGAGAGAGAGAGAGAGAGAGAGTTGCTGAACACAGTCTGCTCCAGACTCATGATATAACTCACACAGATGTACATATACACGCACACACTTCACAGACAAACCTATTCATGAAGTCTCTTAAAATCAGTTGTTGGAATATACAGGGTCTGCACTCTTCTACTTTCGGTAACAAGTCTGCAGACCAAGACTTACTCAGCAGTGTAACAGATATGGACATTTGTATCTTTCATGAAACGTGGTGTCGCAGTAATGAGGCTTTACAATTGGATATGATCGGTTATGATTGGATGTGATTGGTTCGTGTGATGAATGAAGAAAATGATGGCGTTAATGACTAATTATAAAGTAAGTAAACAACTCTCCTGTTTAGATATCACTGCTTTGAGTCACATCAAAATGAAACATGAAATGACTTGAAAACGTGATGACTGTGTCAGTTTTTAGTGAGCATTCAGCGTGATGAAATGAAAGATGTATCTTCGTGCCTGTGACAAAGTTTACAGGGCTGTTACGACGATGACCTGAAAATAAGTTGACTATTAAAAAGAACAGCTGAACATCAGTTCACAAATAAAAAACGGAGTGTCTATTTACAAGTGCAAATAACCCGCCTTGCTGGCAGAAGCCATTTACACCAACTCCGCCCATCAACGTGTGATTACAAAACATTACAAAAGACTATCGTGTAATAACAGCTCCAGTGGCGCAGATGGTAAAGTACGTGTTGCAGTGGTCTTTGATCGAGCGGGGTTCGAATCGCGTTTTGCCGAACTTATTTTCTTCTAATTTTTCAAATCGGATATCACGTCGTTGTTATTGTTATTATTGCATACTGTTTTATAATGTACTACAATACTGAGGTGCAGATAATTGCCACTATCTGCAATAAGTAGGCCTAGTATAAATAGCAGAAAATCCTGCTAGGTGTAAATAGAATCTATAGCTATTTGCACTTAGTGTAAACATTAAGTGTAACAAGGACATGATTTATATATATATTTATATATATACAGTATATACAGTATAACTGCCTCATTTTATAACACCACCACAAGCCACTGGTATATACACACCAGTGTTTCAAAGTTTGGGGTCAGTCCGACTTATTTTCTTAATGAAATTAATACTTTTATTCATCAAGGATGCATTAAATTAACCAGAAGTGTCAGTTAAGACATTTATAATGTCACAAAAGATTTCTATTTCAAATGAATGCTGCTCTATTGAACTTTCTGTTCATCTGTGAATCCTGAAAAATAAAATATATCAGTTTCCACAGAAATATTGTGCAGCACGACTGTTTTCAACATTGATAATAATCAGAAATGTTTCTTGCCTATTAGAATGATTTCTGAAGATCATGTGACACTGAAGACTGCAGTAATGATGCTGAAAATACAGCTGCGCATCACAGAAATACATTACAGTTTAACAGATATTCACATAGAAAACAGCTGTTATAAACTGTAATAATATTTACTGTATTTTTGATCAAATAAAAACAGCATTGGTGAACAGAAGAGACTTCTTTCAAACTGTTATTAAATAATTTTTTTTAGTATCTACCGTCTTTCACTCGGCCGTCAAAACACATGCTGCTCAACAAGGGTTTGAGAAAAGGGCTTCCAGAACAAAGTGCTTTGGTTTACACCTGCAACTAATAAAGCGAGAGCGGGATTTCAGGCGTTTCTGCGTCTCTCTGTAAAAGCCATTTGGAGCACGACGGCCCTGAACACAAACTCAGGCCTGTTTGAAAAAGTGCTCTGGATTCAAGAGACTCTGCAGATCAAGAACAAGAGTTTGGCATCCAGCTTTGTTTGCTAGAGAGGCAGCGACATCTAGAGATGCTCAGATGTCTAGGTGTGTGGAGTGGCAAACCTGGTTAAAGCTTCTGAAGTGCAGCTCCTTGTGAAGAGCGTCGCGGTCCTCGACCTCCATCCATCCGGTGGCCTTGAGCTCCAGGAGGAACTGCTCTCGCTCGGCGGAGGACAGCCAGTCTGCGGCCTGAACACAGCACTATATCATGCATCAGCCCCATCACATTCACTGCAAGCCATTGTGAAGATTCAGCGTTCCCTCAGATGTTAAGATTCAGCATCAGATGCGTGTTTGATTTGGACCAGAAGACTTTTAATAGTGTGCAGTAACAGAGGTCAAATTGTACATTGTATTTTCTAGATGTTTATGCATTCATAAAATTATATAAAATGGTTTGTACAAAAACTATTGGTGTATCAAACCAAATTATTACACAACATACTGACCTCAACAAATTTTTTGTTTAATATAAATTTAAAAAGTAACTGATTCTAGCCTACTATTTCTTGAGTAATTACAGTATAATTATTAAGTTAGTAGAATCATCTAAAGTGTTTTAGTATTGTTACAAAAAGGATTAAAGGGAACGCTTTCATTATGACTGCAGTGATTATACAATGAAAACTTAAAAAAAAAAAAAATCAACTTCATGGTTTAAGGCTAAATTAGCCTATAAATAAATGTGTTATAAATGTACACCAAGAGAGAATATATACATATTATACACATAAAAGTGTCCCAATTTGCTTATAGCAAATATTGTAAATGCATGATGTCAAACATATATATACAGTATATACACACACACACTCACTCACACACACACACACACGCTCTCACACACACTCTCTCACACACACACACACTCACACACACGTAAAATACTAAAAATGAGTTAAGTATTGAGTTCCGTACTAACGGGTCTCTGTCGCCATCTGTCGGGAGAACAGGGTTATAAGTGGCAAATCCATTTCACTGCAATTTTAATAACATAATATAATCGTGTATCGGTCAAAATAACGCAAACTACATACAAGGCAGTCTGAAATATGTGCGTTTGACCGAGTTATGAGGACAGCTGATATAATGATACTCGTGATGATGAATAGAAATAAATACAGAAAGTGTTTAAAACAAAGAAAAAGAAAAGCTCTCTTTTAGGTTATAGTATTTACAGTCAAATTACCCCAACACAGAAAGAAAGAAAGAAAGAAAGAAAGAAAGAGAGAAAGAAAGAGAGAAAGAAAGAGAGAGAGATCTCCGCTAGATGGCGCTGTCGCGTGTCATTCGGGACACAGCTGACGTCTCTTAAAAACACGCCATGCCTCAAGTCTGTGGAAAGCAAAGGAGATTGATCTGATTATTTGCTCAAGCAGACCGTGTCGCATTCAATCCATCGCTATCGGATCCTCACTCGAGTCGCTGATTGGTCGAGCAGCTGCCGACGTCACAATCACGCGCGGCCGCCAAAGCGTTCGACATTCCGCTCAAAATGAGTTATTAGTCTGTTTGATACAGTCTCTAGTTTAGTTTGTCTTACCATTTCCCCTGCGCGGCTGTAACAGCGGGTTAGTCTGGTCAGAGCGCTCGGCCACTGACGGCCGCAGGTCAGAGTGAACATTAACCCGCTGAAGGTCTGCCCCGAGTCCGCCTGATCACAATAGCAGCCCTGATCACTGCTGGCTGATGCACTCTAGTATCCTACCTAGGCTGCGTGCTTATTACCCTGCTGTCCTGAGCACCGTAGAGTAGACGAGTCCTCAGCGCTAAACACGAGAACGAGGCGCTCTAGTGAGGACCCGCCTTCCGCGGTCACGCGCCAAAATACTTATTACAATATTCATCTTAACTGACTTTTTATTAATGCAGTACAGGTAATGACAATTTACAACAAGAAAATCTCCAAATCCATAGGTGTGTCCCAAATCGCCTACTTCTGCACTATTCTAGTATAGCTTGTGCGAGTAGTGCGTTCACACTGAAAATCCCAAAAAGAAAAAGTGCACTTGAAATACCCGGATGATGCACTTTATTAACCGAAAAAATGAAGTGTGGAATGTTGGACACTTTATGCACTCGACTGTCACAGCTTTAATTACGTAGCGAAGGGGGAGGGGCTATTGGACTCCAATTATGCTAAACACGAGAACGAGGCGCTCTAGTGAGGAGGACCCGCCTTCCGCGGTCACGCGCCAAAATACTCATTAAAATATTCATCTTAACTGACTTTTTATTAATGCAGTACAGGTAATGACAATTTACAACAAGAAAATCTCCAAATCCATAGGTGTGTCCCAAATCGCCTACTTCTGCACTATTCTAGTATAGCTTGTGCGAGTAGTGCGTTCACACTGAAAATCCCAAAAAGAAAAAGTGCACTTGAAATACCCGGATGATGCACTTTATTAACCGAAAAAATGAAGTGTGGAATGTTGGACACTTTATGCACTCGACTGTCACAGCTTTAATTACGTAGCGAAGGGGGAGGGGCTATTGGACTCCAATTATGAATTACAAAACAACCTTATATAATTCATACAGGACTGAGTACATAGTGTGCATACTGTATGAGTGCATAGTGTATAGAGCAGCTCATGTGTTTGTCTTGCAGTTCATTATAGATGAGCTCAGTGCTCATTGATTTTCTATCAGCTCTTTTTCATGAATTGCAGTGAATGCAAAGGATTGTGGGTGATTGGATGCATCCTTCAGTTACTTTACCAACCCCAGTCCTGGGCTGTGTTCTCAATGGAGTGCTAGTGCGCTACTTACTCGTACGAGTAAACAGAAGTATGCCAACTACTGTCACATGGTTTCATCGGCGAGTGGTGTTCAAGTATCTCAGACATAAGCTTTGCATTTTAAGTTTGCATATCAATGTCTTTCTTTTGCTTTTACCAGAACAGAACTAAACAAGTACACAACAACACGAGCAGATTCTTATTTATTCCACAAGTATGTACATTCAGATCCCAGAGGAGAAGCCGCAGCAGACTCTAGTCCTGATGCTCGTGGTCTGGTCCTGGAACGAGCCAGCGAATGCTGTCTGAGCAGAGGATGGCGTAGAGAGTGAAGCCGGATATAAACAGGACCGAAAACACAAAGAGCCAGTCGATGCTTTTGACGGGAACCGAGAGCAGAGGTCCGACACGGTCTTCGTCCCGTACGGTCTGATCTGGACTTGCTTCAAAGCCTAGAGAACAGAGGGAAAATAACACAGTCACCATGTAGTGCATACACTGGATATGCATCACCTGCACTGCCTAACACGAGCGGCGTTTCTGAATGCACCGATCAGGCTAGATAATGAGAGCCACACCTGTCTGGTTTGTGATGAACGAGCTCAGTGTTTCCAGCGTTCTGTCTGTCTGGTTGAACCTGGCCATGGGTTTGGCTCCTTGAAACAAGAGTATATTAGGGACGGCCACCGTGCCGAAGCGCGTGGAGAGACTGTGGAAAGAGCGAGAGAGAAACGCAGCTGATGAACACAGAAGCATCCTCAACGAGCCGGACTGCGATGAGGGAACATCACTGATCAACCTGCTGTGCTGGGACGCGTCGAGCGCCAGGAAGTGCATGCTGGGAAAGACTCGCGGCAGGGCGTTGAAGTGCGGGGCGAGGCTTGCAGAAAACTGACACCAGGTGGTATAAAAGAGAACCAATGAGCATTCGGTACTGTTGGCATTCAGGAGCTCCATCAGGTCCTGCGGAGAAATCATACAGTCAGCATGAAACCAGAATGGTGAGCAATTCATCTGTGGATATGTTTAAAAAATGTTTTGATCTCGTAACATTTAATCAAAATCTTCTGAGCTGAAAGCCACGCCCACATCTCAACATCCAATCAACAACCGATGCACAGAAGCAAGCCCCGCCCCACACGGTTCTTCACAATAAGGAAGAACAGATGTGTTTCTACATCCATCTCACTGGGACTTTACCTGTTACTCCACTAATAACCACACGAATGAAACGTTTGATACACAACATTCTCGGATATTCTGAAGAACAATCACTGCACTGTATAACTGCACGATCTCTTTCTTTACATATAATACGTCGGTTTTCACAAAGTAAACTATGAAACAGCAGCACAAGGTTACACTATACATACACTATAGTATTTAGTACACAGTACACTACCAGCCAAAATCCAGGATTTGGAATAAGAAGTCTCTTCGGCTCATCAAGGCTGCATTTATTTGATCAAAAATACAGTAAAAATTTCAGCAATATTGTTTGCCTTGGTGAGCAGAAGAGACTAATTTAGAAGTATCAGTCCAGAGCTTCGAGCGGTAGTGTAGGCCAGTAACAGCACGGTAACGTTACCTGAGACGCGTTGAGCAGCTGGACCGTGAAGAGCTCGGTCCCCGTGACGTTCCTCCGGTCGCAGCTGACTTTGTAGGTCTTGGCGGGCTCGGTGAAGTTCTGGCTCTTGGTCTCGCCGGACGGGCTGCTCTCCTCACAGCGGCCGCCAGCACACGCTTCCCCCGGCAGCGGCTCCAGCCCCGCGGACTGAGGGGCTCCCATCACCGCGTCGGCCATCTCCGCCGTCCGGAAGCGCTTCTGCGGCAGATCCGCCGGATCAGGGAGCTCCGCTACATCTGGAAAGACCGAAAGACCCGTCAGATCACCGCTCACATCCCTCACGAGCGCCGCTGCTGCGGAGTGTTTATACTTTACCTCCGTGTGACAGACGTGCGGTCCCGGCGATTAACAGCCAGATCGCCACACTGCGGAATCTGTCCGGTACCGGGACCATTTTGCCGCCATTAACGGACAGACAGTTCAGCGCGATGATCTGATGTTTGATGATTATGACGTTGATGTTTTCTTTCAACGGACACGAGAGGAAAGATTCGGCTTCCGGTTCACGCGAGTGACGTGACACGCAGCTACGACGTCACGCAACTCGAACGTAAACAGCTGGATTTGACGAACCATATTTAGCAGCGCTCAGGACGAGTGTGTCACAAACCTCAGAAGTGAGAAACTCCTTCCAGGCCTGTGAAAGAATATCCCCTAATTAAATATAATTAAACACAGGCCACTGGTCCCGTTACTTTTCTCCGCGCTTCTGTGGATGGGCCAATCACAGCGGTCGGTGTTTAACCGCATAATGAATGAACTGTACTGGTCAACGAGTTGAAAACACACATGAAGAGTTAAAAGCAACATTTTGAAATGATGTGTATTGTGAAAAGCGCCATACAAATACATCTGAATTTAATTATTTGTACGCATTGCACTCGACCAGTTCAATACACTATCCGGATCACTAAGATCTGCCCATTGTAACACTCTTTTTATGTAATTTATACCTCAATCAACTGAATTTGATGTTGAGGTCAAATCATACCTGTAATCGATATAAAAAAGTAAAACTATGAAATCAGTTTGGTATTTTTCTGTGATTATTTGTGAAATATGGGCTATTCCTGTGTTGTTTACATTTATCTCTACATATGTAGGCCTACTATTGTTTACATTGTACGCTACTTTAAAACCATTAAAGTAAAATAAAATTCTATGGATATCCGGTTATTTTAATGGTGTAGAATGAAATAAACCGCAATAACACTTCCTTGATGTGGTTACATTTTAATAAAACATACACAAACATAAATATTCATACTGTAACTGTATTACAAAGTAAATAAATGAGGAAAAAATAAAAGCCCACGTCACTGATTATATGAATGTAACAGATATTGAACATAAACCTGTCCTTAATGCCACACACTGCTACTTGCAGGCTACGTACTACTCATCTCAATCATCGTGATATTAAACCAATATGAAGATTTTTACATCACTTCTTCACAAGATGCTGACAGTATTCCCACACCAACAATAATCATCAGAGTCAGAATAATTAATACAATACAAAAGGAACTATTACAAGACGTGTTGTAACTGATGTGTGTAATTAAAAAGCGTGTGTCATGTTTGCATCATATCTCCAGTCACGGACCCACTGAACATGCACACGCTATAGAGAGCTGCTGGAGTTCTTTGGTGGAGTGCTGGAATGGGAGAAACACATTTCAATGAAACTACTGCACTCGTTGTGAAGTCATCTTCATTATCGTGTCACTATGTAAATCAAGCTTAAGAAACGAGCCCACTAACAACCCAACATGACATGCAATGGACATTCAGAGTGATAGAGTGCTAGAGACATATTTACATGAAAAACACCAACCTCAGTGGAGAAACGGCCAAACGGCCCACCGCAGTCAGAAGAGTTCAGTGATCTGTATGACAGAGATCACATGAGTGACAGAAATCATGTGTGTGACGGAGATCATGTGTGTGACAGATATCACGTGTGTGTGTGTGTGTGACAGAGATCATGACAGAGATCACATGTTTATGTGTGTGTGACGGAGATCATGTGTGTGACATATCACGTGTGTGTGACGGAGATCATGCGTGTGTGTGTGACGGAGATCACGTGTGTGTGTGTGTGTGTGACAGAGATCACATGTGTGTGTGATGGAGATCACGTGTGTGACGGAGATCACGTGTGTGTGTGAGAGATCACGTGTGTGAGAGATCACGTGTTTATGTGCGTGTGTGACGGAGATCACGTGTTTATGTGTGTGTGTGTGATGGAAATCATGTGTGTGACGGATATCATGTGTGTGTGAGAGAGATCACGTGTGTGACAGAGATCACGTTTATGTGTATGTGACGGAGATCATGTGTGTGACAGATATCACGTGTGTGTGACGGAGATCATGTGTGTATGTGTGAAGGAGATCACGTGTGTGTGTGTGAGACAAGAGATCACGTGTGTGTGATGGAGATCACATGTGTGACAGAGATCACGTGTTTATGTGTGTGTGTGTGACGGAGATCACTTGTGTGTGTGTGTGTGTGTGTGTGTGAAAGATCACGTGTGTGACAGAGATCACGTGTTTATGTGTGTGTGTGTGATGGCGATCACTTGTGTGTGTGTGTGTGTGTGACAGAGATCACGTGTGTGACGAAGATCATGTTGTGTGACAGAGATCATGTGTGACATAAATCACGTATGTGACAGAGATCACGTGTGTGACAGATTATGTTTGTTTGTGTGACAGAGATCACGTGTGACAAATAACATGTGACAGAAATCACGTATGTGACAGAGATCATGTGTGTGACAGAGATCAAGTGTGTGTGTGACAGACGCGTGCAGGAGTTCAGGAGTATGATGGCAGAGCGTTTCTCGACTGACCGCCGTCTAGACACACGGCCGCTGGAGAAAAGGCCTCCGATGGCATGACGCTGATCGGTGGAGGGGTTTTTTGGTTTCGTACGGGGAAGCCGCTGAGGAGGAACTGCGGGGCTTGTAACAGCATTTTTTGCGTTCTAGACAAGGAAGAAAAAAACAGACATGATTCATGAAAACAACCCAATCCAAGGCTTCGCAAAAACATGTAGCCCAATGAAACGCAGCCAAACACTAACAAAACTGCACTGATGGAAAACACTGACCCAAATACATTTACAAACATTAAAGAGTGAATTCACAGAAAAATGAATATCCTGTCACCATTGTTCAGAACGTTCTTTGGTGTGACACAATAGTAGATGTTTGGCAGAAAGTTCACGCTGCTCTCTTTCTGATCAAGCTCCAAAAAGCTCAAATGAGGGCCTCGTAAAAGTAGGTAATATTGGTGTGTTCAATCCTCCTGGGAAGTTCGTATTTTTATAATTATGATGTCAGGTGCGTTCATTTCACTTTGGTCAGAGCAAGATGTTAATGTACCTTTTCTACAAAAAAATCAGTGAGTTTTTTAAGCTGTACTTCGACTAAATGAATAAAGAATGTGTATGTGTTTTTTTGCTGTTTTTATTCAATGAAGGTGCTGTAAAGTGAATCGTTATATATTTTGTTGTAATTGTTCAATACTATTGTTTTGTACGTGTGACTTAGATTTTTGAGTTTAATTGTAAATTTGAAAAATAATGATTTAATTCAATTCAACAAATCCTGAATTAAAGGATTAGAGGAAGTTACTCTTTTCCCACTTGTAATTACAACACGGTGGTGGCGTTTATGTGTGATCAATATGTAAATACGATCTTTCCAACATGATGTGAATTCAGCATTTTGTGTTACACACAGAAGACAGAAAGCTGTTTAATGCCACTCTGCGGGTGTTGCATTGCTTCAGTCCAAAAGAAGTTAAATAAAAAGCTCCTTACTTTAGCAAAGAAAAACCAGTCTCCTCTTGGCTTAAATCGAAGAATGTGAGACACTTTTTTTTATGGATGGGCGATTTTTATTTAAGTTCTTTTGGACTGATGCATGCAACACCCGCTGAGTGGCATTAAACAGCTTGACAGATCAAAGACACTTTTTAATATAACTCCAACTGGATTCGTCTGAAAGAAGAAAGTCATATACACCTAGGATGACTTGAGGGTGAGTAAAACGCAGCCTAATTTTCATTTTTGGGTGAACTAACCCTTTAAGGATGCATTAAAGGTAACGCAATAGTTCAGCCAAAATGAAAATGTTCTGAAAATGTGCTCATCCTCAGGACCATCCCAGATCAGGATGAGTTTGTTTCTTCATCAGGTTTGTAGAAATGTAGCATTGCATCAGA